TCGGGGGAGTTGGAAAGAGCTATAAATCCTGCAAGTGTGAATTAGCTACTGTGAAACATAAAGTCACAGTTCTACTTTTTTTTAGCCATGACACAAAAACCAGATTTTTTTTTCTGTCAAGACCAAAAAAAACCATCGTCCAGGGTGCACTCCCGTCAACACTGCTGGACCACGCTATGCCCTCCACCTCACTCCACCACTGGTATGCTTTACCCTGAACGCTTCTGACTGTGGGAACCTATATTATAATAATAGTATATATGTGTTCTTTGCCCCTGAATCCTGGCACAGAACTCCTAAACCTCTTGCAATTTCCTGAGCAATAGGGGTGCTAGGAAAATCTTTTGTTCTAATATTTGGTCTTCGACTCCGGCTCCTGACACAGAGCTCCTAATCCCTGGGAATTTCCTGGGTGATAAGAGCACCTTTGTTCTTACGGGGTGACTCTTGGTGTGCTCCGAGATGCGGGTTGGTCACCAGAAGAACCAAGCCATGGTTAGAAGCTTGAACATTCAGCCCTACTCCCACTCTCTGGGAGGGGAAGAGGAGCTGGAAATTAAGTTAATAATCCAACCTGTCTATGTGACAAAGTCTCTGTAAAAAACTCTGAACTAAGGAGTTTGGAGAACTCCTGGGTTGCTGAACACACGGAGGTGGTGCGCCTGGAGAGGGCGTGGAAGCTCCACATCCCTTCCCATACGCCTTGCCCTGTGTATGTGTCCATCTGGCTGTTTACCCGTATCCTTTGTAATATCCTTCATAATGAACAAGTACACATAAGTAAAGGCTTTGCTGAGTTCTGTGAGCTGCTCTAGCACAGTCAAACCCAAGGACGGAGTGGTAGGAACCCATAGTTTAGAGACAGTTGGTCAGAAATTCCAGTGATCCAGACTATGATTGGCATTTGAAGTAGGGATAGTTCTGTGGGACTGAGCCCTTGAGCTGCGAGATCTTATGCTAACTCCAGGTAGACAGTGTCAGAATTGAATTGAATTATAGGACAGCCAGTTGATGTCCACCAGAGAAATGGTCAGTGTGGGGAAAATCCCCACACATTTTGGGAAGTGTGAGACACGTTGAATGTGAGATTAGGAAAAACACACATTGAAACTCATGCATGTTGAGTGTAGGAATAGGAAAATAAATTGTTTTTTCCTGTCTTATACAGACTCTTAGATTCCCCATGGAAGTGGCACTTGAACTTGCCAGGGGGCAGGCATATGCACAAGGAAATAGCATGGCTTCCTTCATAAATAATCCAAAATTGGAGGATAGTGAGGCTTAGGCTTGATCTTATAATTACTCTGTAGCACTTCCATGCACTTACTAGCACATATGAGCCTCACGACAGCTCCGAGAGATAGCATTGAGTACACTGGCTCAAAAGCAGGCCAAGGGCAGTGTCATATTGGAGGCACAGAGGCAGAAATAGTTGTTCATGCAGGAGAACAAAGGGGGCACCTATAGAAGCCAGAACAGAACCAGGAAACAGTGTTCCAAGAAGTGGTTTGCTGGGTCAAATGCTGCAGATGTCAAGTAAGGTAGGAAACAGAATTACTGGGCTTGGGAACATGAAGGGCATTGGTGACTTTTGTGAGAATGGTGTCTTCAGTGAATGACAAATTAGGGGAGAAAGCCAGTTGAGAGTGGTGTTGATAGCAGCAGGAGGCAGACAAATTCCCAGGCAGAGAGGGGTGGGTCCTCAGTGAAACCCAACCTTCAAGCCAAAGAGCCTGAAGCCTGAAAACTGGGCTGCCAGTTTCAGGTAGAGTTCACGACCTAGAGTGAGAACTTTCTTGATGCTTTTTAGCCAATCAAGGGATGCTTTTTCCAGGCCTGCCCCAGACCAGTGAGTACACATTCACTCATTCTGAACCCATAAAAACCCTGGACTTAGCCACAAGGGGCTACCCACTTTGGGTCTCCTCTCTGCTGAGAGCTATTCTATTGCTCAGTAAAACTCTTCTCCACCTTACTCATGCTCTGGTTGTCTGCATAACCTCATTTTTCCTGGACACAGGACAAAAGCGCAGGACCCGCTGGAGGGCGGCTGTGAAAGGAGCTGTAACATTGTATCCTTCTTGCCTTCTACTGGTGCTACGTGGCTGTTCCACATGACAGGAAGCAGTGGCTGGGCCAGGCCAGCCCAGGAACTGTGGGCCAGAGCAGGGCAGCAGGACCAAACAAGCTGTAAAGCAATCAAGCTGAAACACGTTCCTGGCCGGCCCACTGAGCATCGGGCCGTGACATGCTCCCGTTTGCTGGACTATGTGAGAAGAGCTGTGACCCTTCGGGAGCCCAGACCTCGGACGCCCTGAGCCAGAGCTGTGACATGCTATAACACCCACTTAGGGCTCCGCAGTTGCTGATGTCTTTAAGCATGTGTTCCCCTTGTCCAGATGCCAGCGCTCAAGGCAGTAGCCACTTAAGGCACGCCTGGTCCAGCCATAGCCTTGCACAGAGCTTGTGCCTGTGCTGGCTCCTAGAGCTGCCTGCCCCATAGCAGCAGCCAGAGCAGGTGCACCATGGCCAGACCCCACGCTTGCCTGCTGGCTCATACACCCCTTGCTGCTCTATGCCTGGCTTGCCCAGGGTGGGTTTGGGATCTGGGCCAGTAGCATGAGCTGAGTGGGAGGCGCCAGCCCAGTAGTCACGAGTGAACCTTGAGCAGAGGCGCTGCTGGCTGTGAAGGTCTCTGGCTGGTGAAGCGGCACCCAAAGGATCCTGTGTCATTTTGAGCTAAGGAAGTGAAGACAGTGTCTTTCAATCTTAATCACCCTGATTTTTTTTTTTTTTTTAACTACATGCTCCTCCTTCTACAAGGAGTCCTGAACCGGCCATCTGAAGTTCTGGTTCTGGACCTGGCTATACTTCTAGCTCAACTGATGACCTTGGGCAAATTTCTGCCTTCTCTGCCTGTCTTAGTCTGTTTTACACTGCTATAACAGAATACCAGAGACTGGGTAATTCATAAAGAAAAGAAATTTATTTCTCACAGGTCTGGAGGCTGGGAAGTCCAAGAGCATGGTGCCAGTATCTGCTGAGGGCCTCGATGCATCATAACATGGCTGACAGGCAAATAAGCACATGAGACAGAGAGAGGATACTGACCAAAATTTATCCTTCTATCAGGAACCCACTCCCGTGATAACTAATCTACTCCCAAAATAATGGCATTACTCCAGTCATGAGGGCAGAGACGTCATGAACTAATCATCCTTAGAAGGCTAAAGGCTCACCTTTAAATACCATTACAATGGCAATTAAATTACAACATGAGTTTTGGAGGGGAGATTTAAACACTTGCATGACTACAGTGCTGTGGTTAAATAGTTGGGTGTGCTACAGATCTCTGAGATGTCTTCTAGGTTTTATGTTCCATTGTTGTGGAGTGGATATGGAGGGGATGGAGCCCTGCGGATGGAGCGCTTGTGGGGTGGTGCAGAGAATGCACAAAATTTTATGCAATGTGCTGTCACTCAAGGTTGGCAAGTGGTCCTCATGGGAACAAGGACCTAGAACACAGGAATAGGTGATAAGATAGGAAAGAATTTGTTCCAACAAGCCCCATGGTGATTTCAGGAGGGCAGGGGTCAGGTGCCTCCATCTGGAGAGGCACTAGATGTATTAGGAAGTGCTTTCTCTGGGATGACCCACACTGCAGGAAGTGAGCTATATTAGCAATATCTGAGTTAACTCACAGGTCGGAAATGTCAGGAAGGAGACTCTGTGGACAGAATGGGTGGTCAGGATTGAGGGGTAGAGTTCTGTAGAATGAAAAGGTGTGGAGTCAGATGGGGCAGCAAGAGGCAGCAATAAGGAAAGAGCTGGTGAGAGGGGCAGGCTTGCTCTGTTTACCCAGCACTCAGAGAATGGTGGAAACAGGTGGGTCCCTTTTAGGGAGCCCAAAGTCCTAACCTCCTAGCTTACAAAACAGATGTGTGAAGAGCTGGTCTAAAATCAGGATACTATATGACTTATTACATGCCTATTATTCCACCTGAATAATCCATTTTTCAGGGGTTCTGTAATTCCTAAGGCCTGTTTAGTTCTAGTAAATGAAAACCCTCCTGTTCCTGGCTCACTGATGGGCATCAGAAGGATCCCTGATCAGAGAAGATGAGAAGATGCAGGTGCACAAGCGACAGACCTCTAACTGCATGCCATTTAGAAGCAACTTCTTAGATAACCCCAAGAACAAAATTATTTACAGGAGCAAAATCACATTTTGTATTTAGTAATCAAAACAAACAAACAAACCTTTGCAGTGCTTCTGTAGCTAAGGAAAGCTTGGCAACACCTGGACTTCAGGGATTATTGATACAACCCATCAGAATGCAAACTTTTCGATGCCTATTGGTCATCATAGGTAACAATATTTAAATTTTGCCTGGCTCAGGAAGCAACACCGAAGTAGGTCATTAAAGGACAATGAGGGATTTTCAGTGTAATGAGGGACCACGCTGTTTGGGAGACCTTTGGAGAGAGTGGGTCATGTGCTGAAAGGATTAGTCCTTTTTGATGCTGTTACCACTGTAAATGCAGATGTGGTAACAGTAATGACACAGCCATTTCTCTTTGGAATTAGTCCTTTTACAGATAATGATGTACTAGCCTTATGTCTCTGGAAGATTCCTTCCGCATTCTTGCACATTCATGAATTTGGTCGCATCATTGGTAACAGAATCTAAAAGGGCTGATCATTCTCTCCGAAGGCTTCCCAAACCATGCAGTCCCTTACTACCCTGAAAATCCTCACTGTCCTTTAGAGCCCCATTCAGATGTTGCTCCCCCAACCAGGCCTGTCCTCTACTCTCCTCATTTCTTTCTTCACCACAGCCAGCTCCTTCTGCCTCTCCCCAATGTTGCCCTGTATAATTGAAAATTCCCCCCATGGTGTCCTTGTGTCCTTTCTCCTGAGGCCAGAAGTTCCTTGAGGTCCAAGACTGTGTCATGTCAATGTCCAGCCCCCTCCTGCCATGAAGAGAGCTTTGAACACATTGAATGCTCAATATCTATTTATTCAATGAATGCACAATTGAAAGAGAAGATTGAATGTCTAGATATGTGTTTCTCTAACCCACGAGCTCACATACAGCAGAGCACATGAATGTGTGTGTGCCAAGGCTGCAGGCTGGATGCCCGTATGCGTGCAGATGTATGTGCCCTAGGGAGGGCCTCCTCGTTAACATCCATTTGAAATCCCTTCTTCTTCATAGAGAAACAACATGATTTTCTAGGCTGAATTGAAGAATAATGTTGAGAGTATAAACAGTCGTGGAGACATTTTCTCAGCTGTCAGAACAGGAGCGACCTGGGTTATGGAAGCCCAGAAAGGGAGAAGGACTTCTTTTGGTCCCAGTGAAAGATGCTTCCAGAATCTGTAGCTTTACTTGTTTGCTTGCAACGCACTGGAATAGCTTGGTGGTGGGGGTGACATCGCTGGTTCTGGGGTGACCACTGGGTTTGCTGCATTGACGTTTGGATAGATGACACTCACCTGTCCCACCTGGAAAACACAGGCACACAGGGGGCACGTTAAGAAGGGTGAAAGAAGGGCAGGCCTTGGACAGTGAGGAGCTACTCCTGCTCTTGAGCAGGGAGTGGAAAGCACAGAGAGCTCCCTTGTCTCCACCTTTATGGGGCCTTGTTCCACCCACTGAGGAACCCTGGGACTCACATTGCTTGGTTGACAGCAGAGCAACTGGCAGCCAAAGTGGGAAGATGTGCATGCAATGGCTAACTCCAGGAAAGAGAAGATCAGGAGCACGCTGGAGATCGCTATTCCAGGGTTCTGGAGGCAGAGCAGACAGGGAGGACAGGAGCACTGGATTGGGAGTCTGAACTGACCTCTCATGGGGCCCTGCCATGGACTCTCTGTGGCTTTGGGGCAGTCCCCTGTCCTCTCTTAGCCTTGTGGGGAAAATTTCCCATGGGGTTTTTGTAAGGGTCAAGTGTGGGGGTAAAAGAATTGTTATTGCAACATTTACTTGGTAGTGTTCCTCTGAGAAAAAAGATGACCATGTTTAGGGAAGCCCCGGAGAGGTTGCTTTGGGTGTGGAGACCTGAGGGTGTGCTCTGGAGTTGGGGAAGCAGTGATACTGCTCTGGAGAGGCTGTGGCTAGGAACTGGAGGGTATGGACAAGCCACGGAGAGAACAGGGAGACAGCTAGAGGAAAAACAAGGAATGGAGCACCCTGGTGGGAACGGGGAGGCCACAGGAAAAGGCCTCCTGTGAAAAATGAAGACTTCTCAAAGCAAGGATGTCTAATCTCAGTAATCAGTGGTTTGCTGGGCTCTGATGTCAACCTCCACCATCCCTCTGAACCTTTGGGAAAAAGCCTCTGAAAAGACTTTCTTTGCTTGTGACAGTGGTGTTTGGTGGAGGGGAGGAATTGGGGCTGCTTCTCTGGCTTGGGAAGAAGAGTCAGTGAAAGAATCCCCAAACTGAAGTAATTTAACAGTAGCAGGAGGTAACCAGGAGAAATAGAAACCCTCCACTTGCTGTTACCCATGAATACCCAGGAGTATGGGGTCTTTCAGAGTATCTGGGAAGAGAGTTTTAATCTAAAACGTGCAGGAATGACTCCCATTACCATTTGGGTTCCAATTATGTGACATGAGAACATTTCTTAGTGAAGATGGATGGCATTTGATAGGCACCAAAGAAATGTCTCTCAATTATGATTTTTTTTTTGAGACAAAGTGTCACTCTGCCACCCAAGTTGGAGTGCAGTGGCATGATCTTGGCACTGTGAGCTCCGCCTCCTGGGTTCAAGGAATTCTCATGCCTCAGCCTCCTGAGTAGCTGGGATTACAGGCACGTGCCACTATGCCTGGCTAATTTTTGCATATTTTTAATAGATGGGGTTTCGCCATGTGGCCCAAGCTGGCCTTGAACTCCTGAGCTCAAGCGATTCACCTGCCTTGGCCTCTCAAAGTGCTGGGATTACAGGTGTGAGCCACCGTGCCCAGCCTCAATTAATCTTTTTAAAAACAGCACTGGTGACAGCCAGCTGCTTGGAGAATTCTCCCTTTTGGAGAGGCCTCTCTTTAGCCTCTTTTCTTCTCCTTCCTCTCCATTTAGCAAGTAGTTATTAAACATCTATTTGGTACAAGCAGCTAAGAAATGCATCCTGAGAGGCAAAATCTGGTAGGAAGACAGATGCAGATGAGAATTCTAATTCACATCAGTTGGGGTAAGAGCTACAGAACAGCAAAAAGGTATCTCAGGGCACTGGGGAGGGAGAGTTTCATTCTCATGAAGGGATTTAGAGAGGGTGAGGGTAGAGGCAGGTGTCTCAGGAAAAGAGGATGGCAGGGTAATAACGTCTAAGCCAATGGATCACAGAGACTTAGAGTAGAAGAGTCTGGGCAAAGTATGCTGGTCCTTTTCAGTTTTTAAAAAGATAAAATCCTTTTACACATAAAACCTTTCATGGAAAAGGGGTTCCTCAAGCAGCTATTTGTTATTTGGCAAAAAATAATTCCTGCTGTCGAAACCCCAGAGCCTCTCCATTCCTTGGGTCAATATTTGCAAAGCTCGGATCAGTCAGACCCTCCACGTTCAGATGGGAGGACTGAGGCTGGGAGGTGGAATGGGTGGTGGGCATGGGGGACATTCTTGTTCCAAGATCGATCACTGGCAGAACGAAGATTGAAAGCCAAGTTGTCTGACTCAAAAATTATTGCTCCCTCTGCTCCACACAGGACGTGGCTGTACTGCTTGGGGTTTAGTCTTTCCTAAACGCTTCTCCCATCTTCCTTTCCCTTAGTTCCTCCACCAGCGTTTGCTGCTTAATTTCTTGTATTAGGCAGTCCACGCCTCCTTGGTTGGTTCTTTCTCAGCAGGAAAATTCCCAAGTACTCTGTTGTGCCTGCCTCTCCCAGCAGACGGGAGTAGCTGGGGTTCAGGGTGAGTGAGAGATTTGAAGGGGGGTGAGCTGCAGGGCACAGTGAGAGAACCAGATCCCCAGGGAGGGTAAATAACCTGGCTGAGGAATTTGGACTTTAATCCTAAAGTATCTGGGCGCCATAAAATATTTCTGGGAGGGGAAAAACTCAAGACAGTTTTGATAAATGACGTGGACTTGGTCCATAGGGCCTCTAGGGAGAGGCTTTGCTTAGGAGTCTTGGAAAGGTAAGTCTTTCAGTATCTTGCAGAGAAAAGGATCTGATGGAATACAAACAACAGTTAATGGCTGTTGACGTTTACTGACCCCGCATCACAGCTCGTACATTCATTTATTCTTTGACAAATGTTTATGGAGTGTCAACCACGTGTCAGGCACAGTTCTAGGTATTTGAGGTACGACAAACATCCCTACCCTTAAGAAGCTCATCCCAGTGGGAGGGGACAGGCAGTGAGCATGAAATGTAACAATTAAGTCAGTTGCAGAGGGTGTTAGATGCAGACTACAGGAAAGATAGATAAGGGGAAGGGAAACGGGTTGCTGGCAGAGTGTGAGTGTTGAGTTGTTCAGGTGGGCCTCATTGGGAAGGGGGTTGCAGAACAGTGATCTGAAGGAGACGAGGAAGGGAGGGAGGAAGCGGCGGGGACATCTGAGGGAAGAGTGCCCACTCAGAGGGGACATTCCAGGCCTGAAGGTGGAAACATGCCTGGAGTGTTGGAGAAATCAAGGAGGCTCCTGTGGTTCAGCAGCAGAGCCGGAGGATGGCAGCAGAGCCCGGGGCCAGGGGCACCTGAGGTCCAGCTTCTTCAGGAGGGATATAGGCTTTTTTTCTGAGTAAGATGCCGGCAGAGAAGTGATGGGATCATACGTTTCCAAAGGCTTCCTCTCGTGGCCACGCTGTCAACAACTGCAGTGAGGCCAGAGTGGGGGAAGGGGAGCACTCAGGAGGCTGTTTCCATGACCAGATGAGCGATGTGGTGGCTCGGCCAGTGTGGGAAGAGAGGGGCTGAGGGATGGTGGGATTCTGAATGCATTTTGAAAGTAGAACCAATAGGATTGCCCAAGGGACTGGCTGTGAGGTGTACGAGAAAGAGAGGGTCAATGATGATTCCAAGGTTTTGTCCCGAACAACTGGAAGGATGAAGTTGCCATCAACTGCAATCAATAAAACTGAGTACGGAAGGCTTGGGAAGTGACATCTGGAGATCGGACGTGGATGTATGAACTCTGAGCTGATGAACTGACTATTGGACGTGTCAGATTGGTGTGTAGGAGAGAAGATTTGGCTGGAGCCGTGGATTCTGGAACAATTGTCATAGAGAACGTGTTTCCAATCGCCAGACTAAATGAGATGGACAAATGAGTAGAGAGAGAAAACTAGAGAACCAGTTATTGAGCCTAAGAGATTGGGAAAAAGAGAACTAGCAGAGGAGGCAGAGAAGAGGACAACCGGTGAGGGTGGAGCCTGCGAGCCAAGCAAAGTCCCTCCCAGAAGAGGCATCCATCACCCCACTGGGGATTTGGAGAAGAGCAGGCAATTGGGGAAGTGGGGCTGCACGTCTAATTGGAGCAGGTTCAGAGAGAATGTGAGAGAAGAGCATTGGAGTCACTGAGCATAGACAATTCTTTTAAGAATTTGTTTGCAAAGAGGGCCCGAGAAATAGGGTGGTAGCTGATAAGGGAAGTAGAACGAAGAGGCGGTTGGTTGGTTTGTTTTTTAAGAAACAAAAAAGAAATGCCAGATATAGGTGAAGGGGAGGAAGGCAGCAAATCACACTGCCATGTGTGTACCTATGCAACAATCTTCCATGTTCTTCACATGTACCCCAAAACCTAAAATGCAATTAAAAAAAAAAGCATGCTTAATGCAGATGCAAAAGCCCCGGTAAAGGGGGAAGGACTGACGATGTAGAGGAGAGACGGGGTGAGGGAGAGGGGAGGAGAACTTGAGCAGGTAGGAGAGGATAGATTCAGTTGTGCAGACGGAGGATTGAATTTACACAGGACACAGGTGGCTCATCTGTAGCTGCCCCGTTCAATTCAGTAGCCACGATTCCCATGTAGCTTTTAAACACTGGAGATGCAGCTGGTCCCAAATCAAGATGTGCCGTTAAGTGCAAAATACACACTGGATTTCAAAGATTTAGTTCCCCAAATGCAAAATAGCAAGCCAAATTTTTATACCCATTACATGTTGAAGTGACAACATTTTGGGTGTACTTGGTTAAATAAAATAGATGATTAAAATTAATTTCACCCATTGCTTTTTCTCTCTCCTAAATGTGGCAACTAGGAAATTTAAAATAACATATGCGGCTTGCATGTTCCCGTTGGACACTGCTGGTGTGTAGTGCAGGTTGCTGAATTATGATCTGTGGGTCAAATCCTGCCTGCTGCCTGCTGCCTGTTTTGTAAATAAAGTTTTATCAGAACACAGCCTTGTTCATTTGTTTAGTGTTTTCTGTGGCTGCTATAAGGCAGCTATAGCTCCACGACAGAGACTGTAGGCCTGCAAAACCTTAAATGCTTACTATAGGCCCCTTAGAGAACAAGTTTGCTAACTCCTTGCCTACAGCAATGGACAAGAAGGCAGGGAATGTGTGGAGAGGTGCTGGTTGGTGGGTACATATGCATTCTTTGTAAAATTGCATTTAATTCTCTCAACACTGCCACAAGGTAGTCATTGTTTTACAAAGGCAGAAACCCAAATTAAGAAAGGTCATGTCCTTAAAGCTATGGGTCAAGGACTTTAAATTTTGTTCCCATTCTGATAGCACCTCCTTTTCCTCCCATGCTTGGCGAGGAAGCTGGGTTGTCAGGCTCTTTCTGAGAGTGTTCTAAATGCAGCTAAGTCAGAACTTAGAGGATCTTTGGTTGAGAGGGATACTCACCACGCCCCAGGCGTAAGGATAATAGTTGGGGTTGTCATCTGGGTGGGGAATGCTTAGATCTGCGATTAAGAGTAAGACTCCAACTGCGGAGGAGATTGCACTGACAATGTTCAAGCCCAAACTGCCAGACAGCTGAAGAAGACACAGAGGGTCAGGATGGGAGAGAAAAACTGTTAGAGCTGAGATGAATGGAAACCCAACAAGTCTTTCTTTTTTCCTCCAATTTGTAAAATTGTGTTAAAGTATACACAACATAAAATGTCACATCTGAATCATTTTCAAGTGCTACAGTTCAAGAGCATTAAACGCATCTGTAATGCTGGGCAACCATCGCCACCGTCCATTTCTATAACTATTTTCATCAACAAGTGTTTCTTAATGTGAATCCCAGGAACCCTATTTCCACCGCCAAGTAAAAAGGCGTTTTGTGCAAGAAACGTTTTGGGGTAAGTTAGCTTTGAAAATAGCTGGGTTGAACAAGCCCAGCTCAAAGCCATAAACAGATCGTGGCTGCAGGACTTCTCAGCACCTTTTAGATTTTTCAGAGAGGGGACAAGAAATAGAGACTTTTCCCAAGTTCATCTAACTATCTTCATTGAACATATCATGGGAGAAATGTACTCAAGAATAATCTTTGGGGCTGGGTGAGGTGGCTCGCACCTGTAATCCCAGCACTTTGGGAGGCTGAGGCAGGCAGATCACCTGAGGTCAGGAATTCAAGAACAGCCTGGCCAACATGGTGAAACACCATCTCTACCAAAAATACAAGAATTAGCTGGGCATAGTGGTGTGTACCTGTAAGCCAGATACTCAGGAGGCTGAGGCAGGAGAATTGCTTGAACTCGAGGTGGAGGCTGCAGTGAGTCGAGATCAAACCATTATGCTCCAGCCTGGGCGACAGAGTGAGACTTTATCTCACAAAAAAGAGGCTGGGGGCTGGGAGCGGTGGCTCATGTCTGTAATCCCAGCACTTTGGGAGGCTGAGGTGGGTGAATCACGAGGTCAGGAGTTTGAGACCAGCCTGGTCAACATGGTGAAACCCCGTCTCTACTAAAAATACAAAAATTAGCTGGGTGTGGTGGCAGCCACCTGTAATCTCAGCTACTCAGGAGCCTGAGGCAGGAGAATCACTTGGACCTGGGAGGCAGAGGCTACAGAGAGCCGAGATTGTGCACTGCACTCCAGCCTGGATGACAAGAGCAAGACTAAAAAAAAAAAAAAAAAAAAAAAAGGATCTTTGAGAAACACTTAACCTATTTGTCCCATAGGATAAATAGAGTCTCAGCCTGAGTGTCTTGGGATGTGATAGGCTCAGATGCTCCATGATTCTGGGCCATGTGCTTTGATATTTTGAGCTTTCTTTTGGAGACTTTCAAATAGATCTCATCTGGTTGTAGGGACCTGGTTACCTTGAGTCCCTTCACCTCGGTAACCTGCTTGTGAGAGGAATGAAGGTACTTTCTTGGTCTGTTGCTAGGGGAGCACAAAGCTTTGTCCATGTTAATTGTCAGAGCTCTGCTGGCCAGAATCCTTCAGCAAGCAAGTGACTGAGCCTGCTTTGGCTTCCCTGGAGGCCTGCTCTGTGCACTGGAGGTATTCTTGGCACCTGGCTCTGCTAGAGGGCAGCCCTGGGTCCCTGGGAGCTCTGTGCCTCTCCATGGCAGGGCTTCTTAGGAAAGCTGTTCTCTGTCTCTCCCACTCTCCGTACTCTGAGGCCTTAACTAAGGTGACTGCATTGCCCCTTCTCACCTCTGCATCCTCTTGGGACTTTTCCACATGTGACTCCAGGGCCAGGCTCCTGTGGCCAGTCTGTATGAGCGGGAATGTGTGTGAGCACCCAAGGTCTGGTTATAGTAGGTGCAAGGCTGGGGCAGGAGTTGTGCGTGACCTTATTTTTCCCCTTGTGACACCATTCTATAGATCTCCAGTTGGAAGAGCTAATCTCAGAGTGTAACTTACCAGGCAGTAAGAAGACGGCTGGTTTTCTGCTGCCACGGAGAGGGATCCTGAAATGATAAACTGGTATAGAACAGAGTGGGTTTAGAAAAGAGGTCAGGGGCTAGGTTGCCCTTCCCCAGGCTTCTGCGATTCTGGTCACACACAGTGGGTTCCTTTGCTGGGACCATCAGCTCAACATGGGGAACAGAAAGAATGAGCTGTTCTATACTGCATGAAAGAGCACTGAGGTGGAATAAACAGATATTCTAGGATCCAGCAAACCTGGTTTAAATTCTGGCTAAAAACTCTTGACCTTGGGTAAGTTATTAACTTCTCTAAATCTTTATTTCCTCATCTAAAAATGGGAAAATTTATAGCTCTCCCCAAGCAACATTGCCATCATTTTTGCCCCACATCTGGCATTTAGGATATTTTTGCACATAGTAGATGCTCAGTAAATGTTAGATTATTTCCTTGTATTTTTTTTTCCCACATGTACACCCTGTTGTTTTCCCATCTTTATATCAAGATTCAGTTAGGTTTGGGGGCTCTGGGGGGAAGAAGGAAGGGGTTACCAGCATCTTCTCTGCTGGTTTTAGATAGACGCCTGACATCAATCCTTGCCTGTCTGCATACCTGGACACATATGCAGTAGTTTTTAGTTACTAAGATAAATGTAGTGTCCCTATGATGCAGAACATCAAATATGAGGATGCTGTCTATTGTGTGCATTTTAATAACACTGGCATTCTGCAGGCACTGTGGCTGATGAGATTACCTGCCATCATTTGCCCAATGGGCTAGCAACCGTGGCATGAGAGGGCATGACCTCTCATTTAATAAGAGCTACCATTTGTGAAGCACTATAGAAAATGCTTTTTAAAAAAGGTTTCATTGACATAATTCATATGTAATTCACCCATTTAAAGTATACAATGCAATTATTTTTTGTATATTTATAGACTTGTGCATTCATTACTACAATCTAAGTTGGAACATTTGAATCACCCCCAAAAGAAGCCCCATCACCCCCAAAAGAAGCCCCCAAAGAAGCAACCCATCACTGCCCTCTTCCCAACACATGCAGTGCTTATTTCACCTCGCCTCATTTAACTGCACACTGGCCTATCAAGCACTATCACTCTTGGCATTTTATCCACGAGACTAAGGCTTGGAGATTTTAAACAACTCACACAACATCATCCAGCAGGTGGCAGAGCTGAGAATCACATCCAGGCAGCTAGATTTCAGACTCCATGTTCCTAACCCTCACCCCATACTCCCTCCCACACAGGGCAGATGATGCACGTGCCATAGAGTGGAAATAGCTGTTCACGATGAAAATTTATTCCAGCTGCTTCTGCCTTCCAAGGCCAATGCCGTAGTTTCCTACAAGTGGAAAAACATATCTCGCTCTCACACCCTCTGTTTACAGATTTTATGGGGAGGAAGGGCTGGACTTTTGAAGTCCCTCTCAGTCCTTCTGAGGTGCCAGAGGAGATGGGCCTTTGTTTCAGAAGAGGGTATTGATGATCTTTGGGAAACAGAAAGACAGTCCTGTGATCAAGACGGCAGCAAAGAACACGACTGCCCTGCAGAACGACAGGAGGAAGGTCATGCAGGCTGAAGGGACTCAGCAGCCTGGCAGGAGGGGGCGTGGTCGGTGAGGCATTTGCGATATCAGGACAGCTGCCTGCTGCTCAGCAGCCCTTGGTGGAATCCAGTACTCAGTGGTAGGTCTGAATGGCCGCGATGCTAGCCCTCTCCATAGCCCCACATTCCACGAAGGTCAGAGACACAGGAATAGGTGTCTTATGAGTGGGTGGGGGAAGGAAGGGGCTGAGTTCTGAGTTTGGGTGTGTGCATGGTACAGGGAAGACCACAGCCTCACTGGAGGAGCCCTTGTTCATTTGCAGACCTTTGTGGTTGTGGGGGATGGAGACAGCTCTAGGCGTTTGATTTAACTCTTATGAGGTAGAGTGACGGGCTGGGACCTAGGTTACTCTGGAGTTGTACCATTTATAAGAAAAGTTGCATTAGTGTCACAGGTAGGTGTGTAAGTCAGGAGAAAGACTGTAACAGATGGGAGAGAAAGGAGAAAGGAAGGTGGAGAGGGGAGGAGAAGGAGTGTTTGTGGGGGGGGCAGGGAGACACTGCAAAGGAACCATTAAAGGCAATACAGTGGCAAGGAAGGACTGTAGTTCTTTGTGTGTGTGTGTGTGTGTGTGTGTGTGTGTGTGTGTATGTGTTCCAGTACAATTTATTTACAGACACTGAAATTAGAATTTCACATACTTTTCATGTGTCACTAAGTAGTAGTAAGATTTTCATTTCCCCCCCAGCCCTTTAAGAGTAAAAACTATTGTTAGCCCACTGGCAGCAGACTGGATATCGCCCATGGGCCTGTAGTTTGCCAAGCCCCAGTCTGGAAGATTGGGAAGCAGTGGCGAGGACCAGCCCTTTGTTCCCGCTGTCTGGTGTTTCTGCTTGCTCACTTGCTCTTTGGTTTCTGATGAAATAATAATGTCATGAGTTTTTATTTAATGCTTATCTTGACACAGGCTGTTCTATATAATTATTTATTGATTTAGAGTGCAATTTAGTGAGGCCCTTCCTTTACTTAATAATAGACAAAAATAGGCCGGGTGTAGTGGCTCACGTCTGTAATCCCAGCACTTTGGGAGGTCAAGGCGGGCCAATCATGAGGCCAGGAGATCAAGACCATCCTGGCCAACACAGTGAAACCCCATCTTTACTAAAAATACAAAAAAATGAAGGACTGGAGTTCTTCATGTTTTATGGAGTCACAGACCACTCTGATCATCTGATGAAAGCTATGGACCCTTCCAGAAAAACAATACCCATCAAACATATTAGGTATTTCGGCAAAATGGAGCCTCCAAAGCCCATCTACAGACTCTGGATCGAGTCCCCACTGCTTAAGCACTCAAACACTTGCTGTTCTGCGGCTGGGAAGCCACTCTTGACCTTTGCGGAATGTTTTTCTCCTGGAGCTCAGGCTTGTGGGCCTGTGTTCAATAATACCAGGGGCTATTCCCAGTGTGTGTTTTACATGTGGGTGTTTTCTTTGTGAATTAAGAAAATACATCCCTTTTGGCTGGGTGCAGTGGCTCTCACCTGTAATGCCAGCACTTTGGGAGGCTGAGGCAGGCAGATTACCTGAGGTCAGGAGTTTGAGACCAACCTGGCTAACATGGTGAAACCCTGTCTATATTAAAAATACAAAAATTAGCTGGCGTGGTGGTGGGTGCCTGTAATCCCAGCTACTAGGTAGGCTGAGGCAGGAGAATCGCTTGAACCTGGGAGACAGAGCTTGTGGTGAGCCAAGATTGAACCACTGCACTCCAGCCTGGGAGACAGAGTAAGACTCCATCACCATCTCAAAAAAAAAAAAAAAAAAAAAGAAAAAGAAAGAAAAGAAATACATTCCTTTTAGGGGGATGTCACCTTGTCACCTTGTGGGGTTGTAGCTTCATACTGATATTATGGGCTGAATTGTGTCCACACCCTCTGCTCTCCACCAAATTTCACAGGTTGAAGCCCTAATCTGTAGTGCTTCAGAATATGGCTGGGTTTGGAGATGATAGGGTTGTTAAAAGGTAATTCAGGTGAAATGAGGTCATTGGGGGGGGGGCCCTCATCCGACGTGACTGGTGTCCTCATAGGAAGAAGAGACTAGGACACAGGCATAGAGGGACGATCACGGAAACGCCCAGGGGGAAGACGACCATCTGCAAGCTGAGGACAGAGACCTCGGGGACACCCTTCTGCCAACATCTCCATCCCAGACTGTCAGCCGCCAGGACTGTGAGATAACAAACTTCTGTTGTTTAAGTCGCCCAACCTGTGGTATTATACTTTGTTAAGGTGGCCCTACCAAACGAATATACTTCTGGAACAAGTCCAGGGCTGGATTCCTACCCCGCACCCTTGGGTGGCTGAGGACATTCTGCAGGGCACAGCTGCACAGCTTGGCAAGGCAGCCTTGAGCACCTTGGCACCTTCTGGGGACTCATCTGCAGGGGGACTTGAGTTACTCACCCATATGCCTCCCCAGAAGGGGTAGCCTCCGTAGAATGAAATAGACACGTACTGCCCTAGGAGCAATGTCGCCAGGGTGGAGCCGAGGCTGATGTGAACCAGGCCAATGATGATCTGGATGGCCTGTTAGGAGAGCCACGAGCTGAGTGAAGCCTTGTTTCTGGGGCTGGGTCCTGCCTCCCCTATGAGACGCCTTTTTATTTTCAAAAATGTTTACTTTCATGGTCTAAAAGCTTATATGGAAAATACAAAAATGAAATAAAAACTACCTAAAACCTCCCCCCAGACTGGAGAAAACAGTTATTTACATTTTGGTGTAGTCTCCCATTATTCTTTTCAAATATACACCTTGATAGCACAACATGGCCCTGAATTCTATTAACTTAATATTTGATCATGAATGTGTCCTCATGGCCTTAAGTATTCTTGGAACATAGATGTTTTCAGAGCTGCTCAGATCCCATTGTGGATGGTCTGTGGAGCAGTTGGGACAGTTATTGGACAGGTAAGATTATTTTTACTTTTTTCTATTATATGTAACACTGTAATAAACATCCTTGTATGTAAATCCTCGCCCTAATCTTTTATTTCTTTAGGATATTGTTATGTGTTGAATTATGCTTCCTTCCCCAAACCCCCTCCCAGTCTATGTGTTGAAGTTCTAATGCCAAGTGCCTCAGAATGTGACCTGATTTGAAAATAGGGTTGTTGCAGTTGTAATTAGCCAGGATGAGGTCACACTGGAGTAGGGCAGGTCTCTAATCCAATATGACTGGTGTCCTTATCAGTAATACCATGTAGGCCGGGCGTAGTGGCCAACGCCTGTAATCCCAGCAGTTTGGGAGGCTGAGGCAGGTGGATCACCTGAGGTCAGGAGTTCAAGACCAGCCTGGCCAACATGGAGAAACCTTGTCTCTACAAAAATACAAAAATTAGCTAGGCATGATGGCAGGTGGCTGTAATCCCAGCTACTTGGGAGGCTGCAGTGAGAGAACTGGTTGAACCTAGGAGGCAGAGGTTGCAGTGAGCCAAGATTGCGCCATTGCACTCCAGCCTGGGTGACAGAATGAGACTGTTTCAAAAAAAAAAACAGTTTTCAACTTTATTATGATGTGAAAGTGACATGAATTTAGTAGAAACCATATTTGGAGTACCCATACAACCATTCTGCTTTTCACTTTCCATCCAGTATCCAGTAAATTACATGAGCTATTCAATATCTTATTATTAAATGGGCTTTGTGTTAGATGGTTTTGCCCAACTGTAGGCTAACGTAAGTGTTCTGGACATGTTTAAGGTAGGTGAGGCTAAGCTATGATGTTTGGCAGGTTAGATGTATTAAATGTATTTTCGATTTATGATATTTTTAATTTATGATGGGTACATTGGGACAATGTAAGTCAAAGAGCATCTGTGTATGTTTGCATATTATACATGTGGTAGCAAATGCAAATATATTGTTTCCTTAAATTCGCATAAATATTAGCAAATTATACACAGTATCTGCCCCTTACTTTCTTCCATTAACACCGTATCTTGGAGTCTGTCCCTATCATTACTTAAAGGGCTTTCTTATTTGTTTTGAGACAGAGTTTCACTCTTCTCGCCCAGGCTGGAGTGCAGCGGCGTGATCTCGTCTCACTGCAACCTCCGCCTCCTGGGGCTTGCTCTTTTTACAGCTCCCCTACGTTTTATTTTTGGATGCACAATATACTGACTTAATTAGTATTATGCTGACAGATATTACAAATCTTTTGTTATCACAAACCACGCTGCAATGAATAAGCTCATACCTATCATGGTTTTTGTGAGCCCAGGCATATCTGGAGGATAAAGTTCCAGCAATGGAATTATTGGATATTTTGTAAATGTGGCAGATAAAAATTTCCCTCCCTCTGGGTTGTATCAATTTACGTTCCCATGAGCACTATTTGAGGGTGAAGCTAGGGTCAGAGCTCCGGCAGTCTGCATCCAAATTCAGCCACACAGTGAAATAGGCTTTTCCTTGTCCTGCGCAGGGCAGCCTTTCCAGAGGTTGCTCTGGGGATTTATGTTGTTGGTTGTCTAAGCTGCTTTGTTTCCTGCTGGGCAAATAATGGATTTGATTTGATTGGCTTTCGGCTCCACCTGGTAGTCTGCTTTGTTCTTGCTGGGACCCCTTTCCTGAGGCCACAGGGCTGGGCGTGGATGCTGGTAACAGGATCCACATTCAAACACACTGCTTTTTTGTTGCTTTTCTTTCTCTTTCCTGAAATGCCCAAATCAGAAAATACAAGGCCTGTGCAGAGGCTCCCCCATGATGTTGTACATCTGAGCTTCCTAATAGACCCATGCTTGGCAAGGCGCAATCAGCTCAGCCCCCCTTGCGGGATGTGGAATTTGCGTATTTCCCAGGCCTTCCCCCTGCCGTCATTCCAGCTGTGCTGCCCATGGCCTGCGAAGGGAAATCTCACTTACCCCCAGGGTTTTGCCTTCTTTCAAAACTTTCTGCACAGGCTGCACATTCACATTCGACACCAAACCAGGGTTCCCAGCAACCAGGCGGAATTGCGGCTGATTGTTTGGATATGAGGGCACCTGAGACACTCCTGGGGCCACAGGATAACCACTGTGGGGTGTTACCACGAACACAGAATTGGCCACTGGAACTGCTGAAGCCATCGAATTCATGCTGCCAAAAAATAAATGCGACAGAGTGGTCCCTCACATATGGACTTGTACTTACATTTAAAAAGGACCTTTGCTTTATCTAGCTCGTTGGAGCATCTTAACCCTCTACAGGTTTATGAATCCCATTTTACAAATAATGTTAGATATCAGTTATAGGACACTTAAGGGATGCTTTACAAATACATTTCCTTTCATCCTCTTACCCGCTCAGTTTTACAGAGGAAAAAACTTAAGATTCAAAGAGGGTAAAGGATACCAGAGGGCAAGGGCTCTGTCTTTTACATTTTTGTGTCTCTCATAGTGTTTATTTTTTAATTAAAAAAAATTTTTTTTTGAGATGCAGTCTCCCTCTGTCACCCAGGCTGGAGTGCAGTGGCACGATCTCAGCTCACTGCAACCTCTGCCTCCCAGGTTCAAGCGCCTCTCCTGCCTCAGCGTCCTCAGCTGGGATTACAGGCACCTGTCACCATGCCTGGCTAATTTTTGTAGTTTTAGTAAAGACAGGGTTTCTCCATGTTGGCCAGGCTGATCTCAAACTCCTAGCCTCAGGTGATCTGCCCGCCTTGGCCTCCCAAAGTGCTGGGATTACAGATGTGACCCACCGTGCCCAGCCTCCTATAGTGTTTAGAGTGATGCTTTGTATATGTTTGTACTGGCTGAAAGCCAAATTTCAGTACTAGAAAATCTCTCCGACAACATTAAGTTTAATTCTCTCATTTTCTGGAAAAGGAAACAGAGTGAGAGATTGGACATGAATCCCCAAGATCCCAGTTGTGTCAATATCAGTTAAATGGAGATTATCCTCCTCAAGGGAAGCCAATGCAGTCTATGTTCATTGGGTAGCTTCTACTGCTCAGTTTTCTAGGCTGCTAATAAATTCTGGTGTGATTTAAAAAATTCTTTTTCTTTTTGTTTCTCCCTTCCCTCTCCATCTCCTGTCTTTCTCTTTCTTTTTCTTGGAGCAGACCCAATAAAGATAATACAATACACTTTGCCATATCCTTCACCCACACTGGTTTGCCATAAGTATCATTGGTAGAAAAACCTTTTCACCAACTCTCAGTTACCCATAGAAACCACTAGATTAAGCAGACTCACCTTCCTCTGCCAGAAACCACGTATCTCTTGTTCCTATTCCCTTTCCTTTGCTGTGGAAAACTTTGTTTTCCGGAGAAAGCAAATGCACTGGGGCCAGTTGGGTGGCAGGGTTAGAAGGATCCAAAGTCCTCTATTTCCTGGATACAGACCAGGTTGCATGCTGCTTAGAGCTCAGCCTCCTCATTCATATTTATTTCCTGTCTGGGCCAATGAGTCAGTGAAATATGGTTTGATTTGACAAGTGTCTAATGGTGTAATCTCCATGGAGAAGAAAGGGTTGTGCTGGGTGCTCTGGGAGACACAGAAATAAACTGGGCACCGAAGCTCCTATCACGTAACATGCCTGCTCCCACTTTGCCTTCCACCATGAGAAAAAGCTCCCAGAGGCCCAGAAGCATATGCTGCCATGCTTCCTGTACAGTCTGTGGAACCATCAGGCAATTAAACCTATTTTCTTTATAAATTACCCAGTCTCAGGCTTTTGTTTCCTTCCTTCCTTCCTTCCTTCCTTCCTTCCTTCCTTCCTTCCTTCCTTCCTTCCCTCCCTCCCTCCCTCCTTCCTTCCTTCCTCTTTCTCCTCTTTCTCTCTCTCTTTCTTTCTTTCTTCTTTCCTTCGACAGGGTCTCACTCTGTTGCCCAGGCTGTAGTGCAGTGGCACGATCTCAACTCACTGTAGCCTCCACCTCCCAGGTTTATGTGATTCTTGTGCCTCAGCCTCCTGAGTAGCTGGAATTACAGGTGTACGCCACCACGCCCATCTAATTGACATGCGGTTTCACTATATTTTCCAGGCTGGTCTTGAAATCCTGGCCTCAAGTGATCCACCCGCCTCAACTTCCCAAAGTGCTGGGATTATAGGCATGAGCCACTGTGCCCGGCCATCAGGTATTTCTCTATAGCAGTGTGAGAACAAACTGATACACCAGCTGAGCCAGTCTTTGGGCCCCAGTAGTGGCAGCAGTGGGGTGAGTGAGCCTGTTTTAAAGCTCCAGAGTGGCTTTTCCTGGCCTTTGTGTTAGTGGTTCTTGAGGGCTCGTTCTTGGGCCTCTAAGATGCTTTCTTAGAAGTGAGCGGTAGGAGCAGTGGGCCTGGTGTGTGGGTAGATTCTCAGGCCCCTGGGAAGCTCGTGTGGTGTGGCTAATGGCAGTAGCAGTGGTGGAGGAAATCACAGGGACCCATGCCATCTTGTTGGTGTTCCTGGAAGCTGCAGTGGATTGGATGGGTTACTTCCTAGTCCCACAGCTGCCCGTAGCAGGGCAGAAGGTATTATCCTCAGTGTGCTTTGGAGACCTTCATCTTCCTTGTCTCTCTTAGTTGGGTGGCAGCTGCAGTGAGTCACTTTGAACTTGGGCCAAGGGTGGGGCACAGCTTAGTGTTAAACTCTCAAATTGGTGCCAGCTGTGGGCTTGTGACCAGAGCGGGTCAGGCCCCTCTCAGGTGCACGGTATGGGGAAGGCTCTGTAGGAAGTGCAGCTCACCTGAGTTTTGGCCTCACAGCAGTCTGTGGCAGAGCACTGAATGTTGTCCTAGGAATTTATAGGAAAGCCTGCCTGCCCTATCCCTCCTTGACTGGGCAGTAGCTGCAGCCATGGCAACTTGAATTTGGCCTGACCGGGGTGAGTGGGGGGCATAGCCCAGCATTAAACTCTCAAAATGGCACCTTGAGCCTGTGGCCAGGGAGGGTGGGATCCCTCCTAGGCAAGAAGCATGTGTAAGACGCTGTGGGGAGTGTAGTCCCCTCACCTTTCAGTCTCATAGCAGCGTGCTGCAGATCTGTGGGTATTGTAGATTTGCATGAGATGGCCTGGTTTTCCTGGCACTTCTTGGGTAGGCAGCAGCTGTAATTGTGTTAGTTTGACCTCGGCCCAAGCGTGGGGCATGGTCCAGCATTCAACTCTTGAGATGGTGCCTTGGGGTTAGGACCAGAAAGGGTGGGGCATCTCCTAGGCAAGCAGTGTGAACAAGAAGGCATGGGGACCGTGGCCCACTTGGGTCTCAGTCTCAACTGCGGCCCATTGCAGGGCGGCCGGTACCCTCCCACGGGCGCATGGGAGCACCTGTTCTTCCCTCGCCCTCCTTGGAGCTGCTCAGTGGCAGCAGCTGTGTCTGTAGATCTCCAATATCTAGGCTCTCAAAAGGGCGCCCAGCTGAGGCTGCTCTAGGTGCCAAAGCGTGTGGGATTCTGTGCGGGCTCACTTTCTGGTGCAACATCTCTGTGCAATCTTTAGGAAGCTCCGTATGCAAGGCCTGATGCTATAGTGCATCTGCTTCAGCGTTTCTCCCACAGCCAAGATCATGAAAGCCCATTTTGGAGTTCTAGGGCTTTCTCTCTTCCCGTTTCCCTAGATCCCACAGCCGCTCTTGGCTCTCAGCCGGTTCCTGGCTGGGCAAGCTGCCTCACACCGTCTCCTTTCTTACTGCTGGTGTTTCTCGTCTCTTCTCTGGCGCATCCAAGTGTTTTTTTCCGAGATGATCTGTTCAAAATGTGAGTATCTAGGTACCATTCTGTTTCCTCTTCTTGGAGGAGGTGCACCAGCAATTAAATTTGGCAGGTCATCCTGCATCCTGATTTTAGGCTTTGTTAGGGTGGGTCTTCTTTCTCCGTTTTTCTTATTCCTAGGTGTAGTCTGTTCTCCTACTTCATTGTTCTTAATTAGAAGCTGTAGCATCTCTGGAGTATCCTTTGAATGTCACGGATGATCAAGAAGGTTTCTGTCTTCTGTCTGCACCTGACTTCACCACTCACCACATTGTGTAGGATCAAGAAGCTATGCTCAGCTCTCAGTCTCCCTGGAATTCACTTCCTTTTTTTTTTTAATAAAAAATTTTTTTTCTTTAGACAAGGTCTCACTCTGTCGCCCAGGCTGGAGTGAAGTGGCAGGATCTCGTCTCACTGCAACCTCCACCTCCTGTTTCAGGTGAGTCTCCTGCCTCAGCCACCCGAGTAGCTGGGATTAAGGCAACCAACAACACACCCGGCTGATTTTTGTATTTTTAACTAGAGATAGGGTTTCACCGCATTGGCCAGGCTGATTTCAAACTCCTAACCTCAAGTGATCTGCCTGCTTTGGCCTCCCGAAGTGCTGTGATTACAGGCTTGAGCCACCGCATCTGGCTAGGAATTTACTTTCTGTTAGGCCTTCTGAAGTTGTATTAAAGGATATGGCTAGAATTCAGCTAAGGACCTAAGGAAAATTGCTTCCTAGACTTCTGAGGTATCTGTTCCATTGTATGCCCATCAAATTCCAGCGACTTTAGCAGTTTCAAACTTAATCTCGGCTTTCGTCCAGCAAGACCACTGTAAGTATTTGGGTTCTACTTTCCTACCACATGATCTGGAAAATGTTTCCAAGGGGAAGTCTGGGTGATTGTGGGGCTCACCTTGTATACTTCCCCATTTCCAAAGAATGGAAACCTGTTGGTTTTTGTACAGTGCCGAAAAATTGATGATTTATGTCTTTTCCCCAGTTTTCATAGCTGGTTTCAGTAAATCTGATATCAGTTATTTCACATTGGATGGAATTAGAAGTCTGTATTAAGACTGTTAGTCAAAGTCTAGCTTAAAAATCTAGTTTAAAATCTGGTTTAAAAATTTTTCAGCAAAATAAATGTAGAGTTAATATTTTTCATATCCTGAGACACAAATCACAAATAATAAGATCTACAGAAATTAAGAGATCGATATAATGCTTAAGTGTAATATAAAGGGCAAATAAATTTATTATAAAATATCCATGTTATTATAGAAAATTTCAGACCTGAGTATCCTGAAATACATCATAATTAGATACCTACACAGTTTTATAATAACTTTGTATGTAAGAGAAAAAGATCAGAAGTCATATGTACAAAAAATATTAAAAAATGAAAGAGCAGAGGTATTAGTGGGAATTAATATTGTAAATAAAGAACAGAATAAGATAATAAAAGAACAGACTTATTCATCTAAGATAGGAGAAAGGAGGATATAATGCTAATCTGTGTAGGCAGAACAGGCTGAGGCCAATTAGAGAGGGCTGAAGTAGAAAAAGTGAGAAATAGTCTCGTAATTAACCGTGCCAAATAGAGCGTTAATTTCTTTGGTTATTTCATGGCATGGGGAAATAGAAAAGTATCCCTTACGAAGTTTGAACTATGAGAGATCCCACTATCTGTTGAGATATATGTTCAGTCTCTAGTACTGGACATGATCTTGGGTGCTGTAATCTTTAAAAATGTATCAAGAAAAATAAAAATAGCTGGGTGTGGTGGCATGTGCCAATAATCCCAGCGACGCAGGAGGCTGAGGCAGGAGAATGGCTTGAACCCAGGAGGCAGAGTTTGCAGTGAGCTGAGATCATGTCATTGCACTCCCCGCGCTCCACCCTGGGCAACAGAGCAAGACTCCATCTCACCAACAAACAAACAAACAAACAAAGTGTATCAAGGATGGATTGGAAGAAGGTAGTTATAACAGAGGCTCTGGAGAAATTATATGGTGGACTCTTGGAGATAAAATCAGAGTAAGACTGAAAAACAGGGAACCCAAACATATACATTCAATATGTAATGTTCACATCAGAGACTTATAAAATTATTGAATTACAAAATATGCATAAACAGTATAAAATTGTGATATAAATTAAAATATGTGCATTTAAAATATGCCTATAAAATGATGAATTTTATACTTACAAAAACAACCTTTTTTAAAATTTATTTTTTAGGTGAAGAGTTTAACACTATTTTATGCTTAAATAATGATGACTGTCTTGTGTACTGGCCATAAGATGTAGACACCCTTCAGTAAGACAGTCATTTGTAACCGTTCTAGCAGTGTCATATCAGGTTAATAAAAACAATCATCTTTATTCTAAAAAATTAAATGAAATTAAACGAGCTCCTATGTCAGAATGTAGTTCTCTTTCTGTAGATTATACTCCTAACCTAGGCGGGTATGTGGAAGCTTCTACTGACCACAGTTAAGAGCCACTCAATTCTGAGAAGCTCTCTCCTAGGCATTAGAAGCTTCTTTGATAATGTGGCTACGCCTTCGCACTGAGCCTCCACCAGCAGCATTTGGCTGAAGTGCTTTCGTGTGCATTGCTCCTCAGGTTACAGCAATTTTCAGGAAACCCGAGGCTTCCGGTCTCATCTCTCCCTAGTGTTCCCGTGTTGGGGCCCGCAGGCAGTGGTGATAGGTATCTTGCTTTTTTA